TAGGTTCAGAATCCCTTATCGCCTGCATCACTAATGAGACGCAGATGCCTTGGATTATGCCCTTATCTCAGATGCCCGTATGATGCGGACAAACATTATCTTGTGCGATCATAACAATAACGAGTGCTAGTAAGTTTCAGGCAATCAAATTAACAGAAGATGATGTTCCTGGTGCAAAATTAAGTTATCCAGAGGTTGAAAATCATCCTATTGTATAATTGAGAAGATGGCTACTTTGCAGAGGAGTTAAAGCATCTTGAAATAAGTGGATCTAGTCCAGAGGTAACATAAACAAGCTTGCTTTGTTTACATTATCATTATATTTATTTCTTGTATTCACTGCTTAAAATCCTTTTCATTAGCTATTATACCGTTTTTAAATCAATGAATTTGAAATTATTCCATTTCATATCTTAAAAATAAACAAACTAGCCTCAAGTATATGATTAATACATATGAATAACTCAGTAATTGAATTTTAAACCAGAGTTTCATTACTATGTAGAGTAAAAGACTGCATTTCATCTGGAAACACAGACATAAGTGTAAGTGTTGATGCTGGAAAATGGATGGATTTGAAGGCATCAGATCTTAAAGCATCAACTTCAGATGATGCATCAAGCAACCCAAAAATTCCCCCAGTTGTTGGTTGGAAAGTTTTCCCATCTACAAACTTGCCACAATATTTCAATGAAGGTCATATTCATCATTATATAATTGAAAGTGTGCAGTTATTCGACAAGCCTGGAAATGATTCGGGAGAAGATGATATTGATGACTTGCACACAGCAAAACCATTAAGAAAAAGGGAAACAATATTCAAGGGTGGGCATGTTTGCAAGTTAAAGGACTTTATTAAAGTCAGGAAATGTTTATTTTTTGAAAGCCTCTGTAGTGGCATCCTACAGAATCAACACGTCGTACAATGTCACCGTAACCATGTCTTCAGAAACTGGTTTTGTGCAGGATGCTTCATGCACTTGCATTGCTTCATCCATGGGAAGATGTAGCCATGTTGCAGCTGTGCTATTTGCCTTTCTGGACTATTGTCAACAATATGGCCATGAATCAGCTGCTTGTACTTCAAAAAAGTGCGAGTGGAATGTTGGAAGGAAGAAAAGAAAGAATCCACAAAAAATTACAGAATCTAAGTATTCCGGAATCCAACAGAAGAAGATTGAAGAACTTATCTCATATGACCCCCGTCCACCAACATATCAGACTGATGACAATCCTGATATTGAAGAAAATACATTCTGGCAGGAACTTCAGTATAAAAACTGTTCCAGTAGTATGTGGGCTACACCTTTGAAATATAATTATGCAGATTATGACATAGATGACCTGCATGCAGAAGAGCTGAAGATTAAACGTACAGTATTTTTGGAAAATCTTTCGCTGTCCTTAAACAGAGATCCCACTGAAATTACATCTTCCCAGAGATGTGATGAGTGGAATTGTCACCGACGTGTACGAATAACAGCTTCAAAATCAAAGACAGTGGCTACACTTAAATCCGACTCAGCCATCAGAAACACTTTGTCAAACATTATATATCCTTCTACATCATATCAAACAAGAGCAATGCTTTACTGGATTGAAAAAGAATTACTTGCTTTTCACATTATACTACTTCAAAGAATTCCTTCATTTGAAGCTTGCACGACGCGATTCTGGGTATCTACAAAGAACCCAGTGCTAGGATGTAGTCTAGATGGATTGGTAACGATCCTAGTGAGCAGAATGGAGACGTACATGGTCTACTGGAAATCAAATGTCCATATGTGCTTAAAGATGCAGACATTGTAAATTTTGATTCAGTTTTGTCAGGTTCACAGAAATCAAATTTTTTTCTCGTAAAAAGAAAAGTAGAACCATTGCTCTAAAGCGAAACCATGATTATTATTTTCAAGTTCAAATGCAGTTAGGAGTAATGGGTCGTAATTGGTGTGAAAGAATCACGTTTGATAAAACATTTTGGGAAATTTCATCTCAAAAACTTGTTAAATTTCATCACACTAGACTCTGTCCTGAGTATTTTGAGTTGAGAATTCCAAGGAAACTAGAACCAGTTGATTTGTCAGAGTAAAATGATATAATTGTGATTAAAGAATAAAGGTTTATGTGTTTTTCTTTCTTATTAGAACATATAAAATGCACAAAATTGTTGATTAGACATTTTATTTTACATGATTTAACTAGTATTTGAATATAAAAGCTGCATAAATAAAATAAATCTCATTAAATTCAGATATATTTATTTAACTATTGAATCTTGAAAATTAACTAAACAACCTACAACAAATATTAATTGAGAAAATACTGGCTCTAATGACAACGGTATTGTTTTCTGTAAAATTCTAAATTTTTTTATTCTCTCTATGGTGCGTTCTACATGGATGCGATGTTTTGCTATGTCCTTCGTGCTTGCCTCCTCCTGAGCACTAATTTTTACTCTTCCTCCTAAAATGGAGGCAAAACAAGTTTCGCACCTCGTGTTATTAGTAAGTCATCAATTACAAAATCACGATCTGCCATTATTACATCACCATTATCTAAATGATCTAAAAAACCAGACTTGATGACAATGTCTTTATCAGAAATTGATCCTTCGAATGCGTCGGAAACAAAAACAATTGCTCAATTTAGTGCAATTGCAACTAGAAATTTATATGTAGTGTGACCCTTGTATGAAGAGTAACAATTTCCTTGTTTACCGAAGTCTCTAGGTTGTTGAACAAATACCTCTGTACAATCTTTAATACATCTTATATTTTTGTACTTCTTGAAAGACTTAGGTGCAAACTTGCGCAAGCGAGACCTACTTGGGAACATTTTTGATCTGAGAGGAAGAAATCTTTTATACAGAAACTGAACCCGTGCGTGAATTATTCTAGAGACCAAAGAGGTGCTAACATTAAATCTGTATGATAGATCTTCAACAAGAAATCCATGTCTTAGCCTCATCAGTGTCATGAACAGTTCATTTTTTGGTTCAAGTTTGTGCTTTGGTCCAGGTCTCTTGGTTGGCGATCTGTCTGGATATTCACAGTCACTGTTCCAATAAACTAGCTTATTTTTGGAAGGTCCTAGATACTCCCACAAACACATGAACTGTGAAATGGTTAGTCCTGTATAGTACTTGAACTTCTCTTCATCCTTCATTATGACATCAAAAGTAAACTCACTGGAAGTCTCTACAGAGGATTTTTGTTTGTTTGGTAATTTTAGACTACTAGATGTTTGCAAATGATCAACTTCATTTTGGAGCAATTTTACTTTGTTTTTTAGCATGGAATTTTCAATTCGAATCTCTAATTCAATGTTTATGTTCCTCTCAGTTTGGGTACTCACTGATGCTTCCTGAGCTTTGACGTAAAGGCATTTATCTTTCATTTTATCTGAAGTTTGACAGATGCATGGACATTGAGGTATGGACTCAGTTGTACTTGTATTTTCTGTGAATTCAGTCTCTTCTAATTCTTCTTGATGAAGAGATTTTCTTGTCATTTTCCTGGGATGTGAGATTTCTTGTCTGGGAGTGGGAGATTTGCGCTTTATTGTGCATTTTTTGATCTGTCAATAGATATAAAATAAAACAGATGAATACATGAGCAATGCATTTTTCTACATATACATTGCACTAGTGTATGTTAAGACAAAATTTCAACACATATTAATATGCTGTACTTAATTGCTTACTTCAGATTCGGTTTCAGTTGCAGGAAGAGGGTCTGGATGTTCATTTGTTGGCCCTTTTCCTCCAACAATTAAAGTGCTTGCTGCATATATATGTATCCTTAGTGACCTTTGCAGTTGAAAATCCTTCCCGATTACAAGCATTCACCCATCGTTTACACTTTTCAATATCTCTCCGGGGTTTGGGAAATCTAATAAATTCAACTCCTTGCATATATTCTTTGTGGGCATACCTTGAGTCACTGTTGCATATTCCATGACAACAGTGTTTTGTTGCACTCTTTTTACACAGGTTAGCCATACTATTACTAAATTTACATCACAAAGTAAGATTCAAGCCACTGTTTTGCTCTTGTAAACAAAGAAACATGTGGGGCAGTTTGTCCGCATCTAAATAGTATGCAAGCTCTACTGATAAGGAATTCTAAAAATAGATACAGCAGGGATTCTGAACCTGTGCTATTGATTGATTACATCCTGAAATCGAAAAATAAGACTGTTATTTATTAAATAAACACAAGCTGAGTATGTAAGTTATGTATATGATGAATACAAGCATGGGTCATGTACCTTAAATGGGGATCCGAGTGATACTATGGGAATTTTATTTTAACCTACCATTGTCCTTACTTCCGTTTAAAATTTTCGATCCTGAAAAGTTACCGGCTGAATTCATCAATAACAAAATGACTTTTTTAAGTCTTTCTATTTTCGATGTTGAGGCGAACGTGTCTTTGAATCTCTAGCTTACATTTATATCATAAACAATTGCTCTAATAAAGTTCAATCTTGCTATATCACCTAAATCTTATTAAGTTTTTGACTGGGACAAATAACATTAAAAATATTAATACATCATTAAGCGATGTTAATATATTTTACGACATCCGTTGCACGAGTCTGTATGAGGAGTTTGCTTAATAAATTGCAATGCAAACCTTGTGACCCTGATGCCTTTAAAGTAAATACAAAAACGCAGAATTATTTTTTAAATCAATTTTTTAAAAAAATTAAATTTTTATTTGATATATATTTAATATATAAGCTAAGATCATACTGCTTTTATTAATCTTCACAGAAATATAACTATGAAGCATCTACCAAACTGTATGTTATGAAAAAATATGATTATTATGGTGGAATGTTTATAATAAATTATAAGGACAACTGTCACGATTTTTTTTATATAGCAATCTTTTTAATCACATAAGGAAGGATAAATTTGTTTTTTACTCAGAATTAGGTATGGATCGATCATTTTCTCTGTTGGTGGTTTTATTTGCCGTTTTGTGTATTACTTCATGAATACAAAACGCAAAACCAATGAAGAAGCAATCATCGCCTTAAACAGCACATATGACTACATAATAGGTATGATACTCATGAAACTTCAATCCATTTTCACTTTTATCATTTTTAAATACCTTGATGGTCTCTCATTCCAATAAATAGTGCTCATTTACGAAGGTTATCTCCTAAGTAGAGAATTTTTTGTTCTTAAATGGTCGTCCAATAGTTACTTTTTTCTAAAAGACTCAAACATTTTCTCTATTTGACCGGTTATGTGTCAGTTGGAGCAGGTTCAGCCGGCTGTGTTCTTGCTAACAGACTTTCTGAAGATTTGGGGTCTTCCGTACTAATAGTAGAAGCCGGAGGATCAGAAAACGAGAACGACATTATGCATATTCCTATAACAGCTGGAGGTTTGCAAAAGACGAAACAAGACTGGGCCTTCAGAACAGTCCCTCAGAAGAACGCATGTTTTGGTTTAACCCTTTCTCTTCCGGCGCATTTTACGTGATTTTGGAGGCCTTTTGACATGACATTATTTAATTATTTCTAACTTTTTTATCCAAGGGGAAAGCTCGGCATATTGCATACCATTTTGTAGGAAATTTCTTACAGATGATTTTTTATGACTGTTTAGATACTCAACCACTGACCTCATTAGTAAAAATTGAGGTCAAAGGTCAATTTAGTGCAACATTTTATGGAACTTTTTGATACTTTTTCATCTTTAAGCTAAATATTAAGTATGATGCATGTTGAAATAGGAAATTTGGGATATACCCACAAAAGAGCATCATACTGTACTACATGAAACACATAAACTTTTTTTTCAATTCAGCATATAACTACTTAAAAGGGGTTGCTAAGCAACGCAGAATTCTTTAATTTTCGGGCAGAAATTTTCATTTTTTACTCATCCTAGACACTTTTATGCATCCCAGCACATAAAAAAAGTTAGATGTGAGGTCATAAAATTATAAGGGACATACAACAGATAAATTGTCTTAAACTTTGACCTCATTAGAACTATTTTTAGGAGGTCAAAGGTCAAATGAGTGCAAAAGTTTCATCAATTTTTTTCGACACTTTTCAATATTCTTGCCATAATTTTACACAATGGATGCTGAAATGGAAAATTCTGAATATACTCTCAAGAAGGGATCAGAACTGCAATATCCATGCATCATTTTAGTTCAAATTTCTGTTTAATGACCTTTAAGTGGTTGCTAAGCAACATCATTTTAAAGTTTTTGTCTATATACATGTTTGTTATTTCACATTCTGGACAAATTCTAGACACTTTTTGTATATTTCATGATATTGCTTGTAAGATATGGGCCATAAAGATGAAAGAACATTTTTGTTTTAAAAATTGACCTTGACACTCTTGTTCTTCAGAGGGTCAAGGTCATATTAGTACAGAATTCTGCTTCTGAATGCGATAACATGAGACTGTATTTTTTGAAATTTTAGAAATACAGAAATTTTCAATACCAAAACAAAAATTTACCTGTTCATTGGTGTCCTTACATATTAATTGACCTTCATAGTTCATGGTGGGCTTTCACAGATGAAAGTATTGTTGCATATGGTGAAAGCACCCTAAAATTTCCATGTGAAAGTTGTACATGTACACACCACAGGTGCTTGAGGACAGGACCCCCCCCCCCCTTCAATATAGACCCCTGCGCTTTATCTATTTTTTTCTAATAAAAAATCTTTCATTGGCATATTTGTGATATGATCTATACCAGCAAATCGAAAAATTACCTAAAACAAACGTTCTATTAAATCGAACCTACATTCTCTATATAAAAATCAGAGGGTAGATATTTTTATAAAATGTAAGTTTAAGCAAATTTTCTGAATTGATAGGATAGATAATATCACAAATGTGTCATCCATATATAATTTATGTGAAAAAAGTCTAACAGGCCCGGGGGTCTATATTAGGGGGGGGGGGGGGTCATGTCCTCAAGCACCTGTGGTACACACTGGTACATTGATACTGAAAACAACTATCCATTATTATGACAACTTTGATTTTACTTTGAACTTACGAGTGATTGTCAAAAACATCAAAGTTCAAAACAATGCAAAATTGGCAGAACGAACCGAAACACGCACACTGAAACATAATGATCTAGTACCTGTGTACATTTAGTTTTCTATTGAACGTGAACTAATGCGTTTTAATCTTAAACTTTTCAGTCAATATACACGTATTCTCACCTGCTAATACCAAAGGCATGTCCGTATTATTTGATTCATTGATGTGAGGATCTTCGTCGTGAAATAATCATGAAAATTGACGTTTAGATTTCGGATCATCATGTTTTTGTTTACAGCTATGTCACAGCGGAAACACGTGTTTATTTCAATTCGTATCAACTCATACAGTGATGAGTCGTATTTATTTATAAATACGAGTTTTTGTATTGTTAAAATATAGATCTAATTAAATTGCAAATTAATAAGTATACAGTATAACAAGATACAACAATATTTTAAAAATCTGATTGATTTTTTTTTAGTAAAGATCGACGTTTCGGAAATCAATACTGTATATCACTTCATGAAAAATACATCATTAGGGCCTACATGTAGATGAATAAATCAATATTCACTGAACACAAAAGGCAGAACGAAAGTATAATTTGTTTTTTGAAATCTTTTTTTGTACTATGCATTTATTTCAGTAAAAAATATATTTAAATGGTAAAAAAAATCGTATAAAAGAATTTGTTGTTTCGAGTAAGACGCAACAATATGGACCTTGACGTTACATGTAAATATTGACCGATTTTTCCATAAAAACTATGCGAAGGTCACAAATTCAAATTATCGTAATTAAGAAAATGCTGAGAGCATAAGAAGGCCTATAAGGACTTGTTGGAAAGGAATTTTTCTCTACTTTTACCAGCTTTATTTTGTTTTCCCTATTTCAACACAGAAATAAACGTAAAACTGAGCTTTGTTTAAATATTACGAATAAAATCGAGAAAAAACACGTAAGTGCAAGAAAATTCTTGTTTTTAAAATATACCTTAGAGTAATAACAATAATTTTTACATATTTTAAAAGTAGAGAAAATATGCTTTAAGAATATACCATGCTTTCTTATAAAGTTTATCAGGAAAAAAATTGTCATTCGTCTGGAAAATCGGCAATCGCTTTGGAAAATAACGCCATTTTCAAAAAGTCTCGTTTGTCTTTACAACGTAAAATCGATTAAATACCGGCAATCAAGATGTAATCTTTTTAGATATTCTAAAAATAGAGAAAATTTCCAAAAAGATGATATATAGCTTATATACCTTCATGCTACCACAAAATAGATACGGAGATCTTATTTTCGCGAAGTCGTGTTTTAACGCGCCACCGGTCAATTTGACCGGTACGGAAGTGAAGGGGTTAAAAGACAAGGTTTGATAATGACTGAAAAATCTTCCTACTGTAATAAAGTATATATGTATATCATAGGAATTGTTTGGTCTCAATATTGATCTTGATTGCATTTTTGACAATTAGTTAATCAATTCTGTTAAAAAACATATTTTGATAGGAAATTCCGAGTTATAACAAGTTGGTAAAAAGCAAAAGTTAAAAAAAATCATTTCAATTTTGACAGAGAAGTGCTCAGGCGAGAGGGCGAGTTCTTGGTGGGAGCAGTTCCATTAACTATATGGTGTATATGAGAGGCAGTCGCCATGACTTTGATGGATGGGAACAGGAAGGTGCCGAAGGATGGAGCTACAAGGATATTCTACCATATTTCATTAAGTCAGAGGATATTCAAATACCAACACTAAAAGATTCACGTATAAACACTTTATTGCAGTATCATTGTTGATTTCTATAAAATCAGTGTAGGATTCTAAAGTTTTATATTTGTATCAAATTGGTCAAGATATTTCTTCAATCTGATAAAAATAAGATGTTAGATCCACTCACATACTCGCTACACTTACATCTAACAGCATCCATATAGGGTCACGTCAGCGGTCAAATTCGAAACAACTCTAGACCTATTAGCTTCAAGATATGTACAATTTTTTTTTTCATAAATAATTTTTCAAGTTTGATTTCTCCTGTAGCTTACCATGGAAAAGGAGGTCCACTGACAGTGAGTGATGGAACAGCTACTCCTCTGAGCGATGTGTATAGACGGGGATTAGAGAAGCAAGGGTACTCTGTTGTAGACTGTAATGGGAAAAGCCAAATAGGTCCGATACATATTTAATCCACACTAGTATACAATAATACATCTAATATCAAATGAAACGAAACTCTGTATATATATAACGCTATATATCTTTTCAAGAATACTGAATTGAGAATTATCTTAACCCATGCTTTTACGACCCTTAACTTGTAGATGATTTTGCCCCCTTAAAAAGTGTAATTTTGGGATGCTATTCGCCCGTTTTAAATTAACCAATCATTTATAAGGACAAAATGGTCAAGAATAAAACTAGAGTAAAAATTTCCTTTGATAAACATTCGAATGTGTCATATTCATTCTCTTGACAAAGGCTTCTAACTGTCACGGGCGTTTAAAATATTCTTTGAATTTATATATAGGTTTCTGTCACGCACAAGAAACGATCAGAAACGGGGAAAGATGGAGTACTGCTAAAGCTTTTCTCAGACCTGCTATGAACCGACCAAATCTTCACGTGGCAGTGAACTCCTATGTTACCAAGGTAACGCTTTCTAGATTTCATTTATATATTCTCAAGCATTGTCTTAGTTTACTTAAAGTATCATCTTTGGTCTTGTTCTAATAAGATATAGATCAGATAGATTCAAATTTTCAGATTTTAATCGAAAAGAAGAAGGCAGTGGGTATTTCACTTGTGAGAGACAACTTAAAACATGTAATAAAGGCAAGAAAAGAAGTTATTATATCTGCTGGTGCGTTCAACAGTCCACAGATTCTAATGTTGTCCGGCATCGGACCAAAGAGCCACCTACAATCATTAGGGGTGAGGAAAAACAATATTATATCTCCTTTTATCAGCCATTATTATGCAAATCCCATCTGAGTGAAACATTTTCGTGAGAGACTTTAAACAATAACCTAGCAAAAGAATTCTTTTCAAATAACAAACTCAGGTTAATTCATGTACCAAAACTATTTCAGGGAATTTTTACAATATAAAAAAAAATCACTAAATTTATAAGTATATAGTATAACTAGACTTCATGGAAGAACAGTCAATAATGAAGTTAAATAAAATGGATTATTAGAGACTAGATATTTTGAAACAATCATTAATATAAGACGTAATATGAAAATTCTCGTTCTTCTTTAAAGTTGTTTTAATTTAAATTTATTTGACCATTTAAAACAGATATCATTGATTGCCGATTTACCCGTTGGAGAAAATTTAGAGGATCATTTAAATGTACTGTTGCTATTCAGGGATAACACAACTTCATCATTTCAACAGTTAGCATTATCAGTTTTCCAATACTTAGCATTCAAATCAGGTAAATATTTGTTTTTAAAAAAATCGTATTTGAAAATACCAATATAGATAACTGTTTATTACATTTTTACCCGTGAAAGACTAATTTATTTATTGAATAAACATGATATCCTATCACAGTGTGAAAGGATATCAAAATGATATCCTGTCACAGTGTGACGAATATCAAAAGTGCGGGAAAACTATCGATTTCCCTTCCCATAACGAAGATTGCTGTAAAAAAATCTTCGTTGACCTAATATAACATAGATGGAAATAAGTAAACCATTCTGACAGCGAATAAAACTGTCAAAACTACCAAAAATATGTTGCCAAATTCATGTTTACAGTGTTCTCAGCTCACTTAGCTATGACGTCTCAACCGCTCAACTATGACGTCACTACCCTATGACTGTATTACAAAAAGACAGAGGCAAAGGAAAAATCAAAGAATTTTTAGCTCACCTGAGCCGAAGGCTCAAGTGAGCTTTTCTGATCACTTTTTGTCCGTCGTCCGTCCGTCTGTCCGTCCGTCTGTAAACTTTTCACATTTTCACATTTTCGACATTTTTCAAGAACCAATGGGCCAATTTTAACCAAACCTGGTACAAAGCATCCTTGGGTGAAGGGGAGTTTAAATTGTTAAAATGAAGGGCCAAGTCTCGTTACAAAGGAAGATAATCAAGAAAAAACAAAAATAGGGTGGGGTCACTAAAAAATCTTCTTCTCAAGAACCACTGGGCCAGGAAAGCTGAAACTTATGTGGAAGCATCCTTGGATAGTGTAGATTTTAAATTGTTAAAATCATGACCCCCAGGGATAGGGCGGGGTCACAATAGGGAATCCAAGTTTTACATAGAAAAATATAGAACAAATCTTTAAAAATCATCTTCTCAAGAACCACTGGGCCAGGAAAGCTGAAACTTATGTGGAAGCATCCTTGGGTAGTGTAGATATTAAATTGTTAAAATCATGACCCCCAGGGTTTGGACATGGCCACAATAGGGAATCCAAGTTTTACATAGAAATATATAGAACAAATCTTTAAAAATCTTCTTCTCAAGAACCACTGGGCCAGGAAAGCTGAAACTTATGTGGAAACATCCTTGGGTAGTGTAGATATTGAATTGTTAAAATCATGACCCCCGGGGGGTAGGGCGGGGCCACAATAGGGAATCCAAGTTTTACATAGAAATATATAGAACAAATCTTTAAAAATCTTCTTCTTAGAAACCACTGGGCCAGGGAAGCTGAAACTTATGTGGAAGCATCCTTGGGTAGTGTAGATATTGAATTGTTAAAATCATGACCCCCAGGGTAGGGCGGGGCCACAATAGGGAATCCAAGTTTTACATAGAAATATATAGAACAAATCTTTAAAGATCTTCTTCTCAAGAACCACTGGGCCAGGAAAGCTGAAACTTTTGTGAAAGCATCCTTGGGTGGTGTAGATATTAAATTGTTAATATCTTGACCCCCAAGGTAGGACGGGGCCACAATAGGGAATCCAAGTTTTACATAGAAATATAAAGAACAAATCTTTAAAAATCATCTTCTCAAGAACCACTGGGCCAGGAAAGATGAAACTTATGTGGAAACATCCTTGGGTAGTGTAGATATTAAATTGTTAAAATAGTGACCCTGGGGGTAGGGTGGGGCCACAATAGGGAATCCAAGTTCCACATAGAAATATATATAGAACAAATCTTTAAAAATCTTCTTCTCAAGAACCACTGGGCCAGGAAAGCTGAAACTTATATGGAAGCATCCTTCGGTAGTCAAGATATTAAATTGTTAAAATCATGACCCCTGGGGGTAGGGCGGGGCCACAATAGGGAATTCCAAGTTTTACATAGAAAAATATAGAACAAATCTTTAAAAATCTTCTTCTCAAGAACCACTGGGCCAGGAAAGCTGTGGAAGCATCCTCGGGTAGTGTAGATTCTAAAGTTTTAAAATAAAAAAAGCGAAGATGGTTGGGCATGATAGGTATAGCAAGAGGGGGAATCTGGTAAACTCTGCATCACCCAAGTTACTCAGGTGAGCGATGTGGCCCATGGGCCTCTTGTTTTAAAATGTAATTTTAAACAAAATTAATGTTGAATAAAAAAAATTCGTGAGACAGGATTTTTTTTATATTTTCACTCGTGCTTCGCACTCGTGAAAATATCAAAAATCCTGTCCCACTCGTGAAATAAATTCCATATTCAACTACAAAGCATTGAATATCCTCTATCTATTTCTTTAGCTCTTGCATGTATAAAAGATAATAAAACGTAATTGAAGTGAAAATAACTAAATTATAAAAAACAGTTTAAAATAAAAAGTAACAACCATTGAAATAACTTGTAAAATGACATAGATGAAATAACTTGTAAAAAAGAGATACATATAAGTTTTAAGGAACAAATACAGCACTATAATTTCATAGTACTGATAATTTTTATTAATTCGTGTAGTCTGACATAAAAGTGTTATTTTTAAATAGTTGAACTACGAATTATGATGAGTAGATCTGTAAATTTTAAAGGTCCTATGACTAAGTCCCATTTAGAGTCTCACGCATTTCTGAAGGAAGATGGCTCCTTGCTTCCATACATGCAGATGTCGTTCTACAGTGTGCTGTCAATGCCTTCTATTGCCTATGACTTCACAAAAATTATTAACTGGGATCCAAAGGTATAGAATCTTTAGCTTGCAGTCATCATATCAAAAATTAAAATGTTGGTCTTTTACTCGCTGAGACGAGAAAAGAATATAAAAAACGCATAGATGAAAAAGCTAACCAGCAAAAGAAATATCCGGATGATTTAAACTGAAATACACGAAGATTACAAACAGAATTAAAACGCATACATTCCAAAAACAATTCAAAATAGGAGCAGAGCAAACATAGATCTCCAAAACATCAGAGGGGGTCATGTCCAATGGAGGAGTGAGCATCCTTGCTATGACTGGGAAATGACGTGAAAATCCGTCGTCAATTCTGAGTGTAAATAATGGATTAACAATTAGTATGAAAAACGTCAGTAAGCATTTTACTCAATCATAAATTGTCTTTGCTGACAAGATCATTGCATCGCCCAAAGAACTAACAAAATGATACCTTTAAATGAGACTGCTAATATCCTTGCTGTATCAACTCGTTTGTCAATAATTTACGTCATCTTAGAAATTATACATACGTAGAACATGCTTTAACGTATCGAATCAACTTAGATATATATTTATGTGATTTCCGTATGCAGGCGGTCTCCAGGTTCCAAAGTGGACATAGAAAATGTATGATAAACACCAACGGAAATAAATGACTTCATAATATAGTGTCTGTCTAACTTATCTAATTTACTTTATCTGTCCTCAGAAGTTTTTTTTTCTCCGGCCACTTTCAACGTATTAGAGAAAAATATATTTATATGGCTCTATGAAATTCTTTTCTTTAGCTCAACTGAGCCGAGGTCTCAAGTGAGCTTTTCTGATCAAAATTTGTCCATTGTCTCTCGCTGTCGTAAACTTTTCACATCTTCATCTTCTCAAGAACCACTACGCCAATTTTTACCAAACATGCCACAAAGAATCTTTAAATGAAGAGGATATAAGTTTGTTCAAATGAAGGGCCAAGTCCTCTTCCAAGAAAGGAAGATAATTATAAATAAATAAAAAACTAATTGCATCTTTTAAAAATCTTCTTCTCCAGAACCATTGGACCAGGAAAAATGAATCTTATGTGGAAGCATCCTCAGGTAGTGTAGATTCAAGTTTGTTCAAATCATGACACCAGGGGTTAGGGTGTTTCAAAGTTTTACATAGGAATACATAAGAAAAATCTGTTAAAATCTTCTCAAGATCAGCAAAGCTATGATTGGTGATATTAATATGGAAAAATCCTCAGTTAGAGCTAATTCAGGTTTCTTCGTATCATGACCCCTAGGGGTAAGGTGGGGCCATAATGGGCAAAAATCTGTTGAAACTCTTTCTCTTAAGTATGGCAAAATTTTACATGTATGCTCTAAGCTGTATTTATATAGTGACATTTATTTATCAAGAAATAAAAATTCAAATCTCCCTTTCCCAAAACAAAACTTTTCAAAACTGAGCTGATTTGTGTTCTTTAACTAGCCCATGTGCTCAGGTGAGCGATGTGGCCCATGGGCCTCATGTTTTACTTTATATATTATAACTGCTCAAAATTTTATATTTTTTCTTAATTTTTTTTTTTATTATTTTTTTTTTTATTTTAGTTAAATTTTGTCTAAATTAAGAACCCCACTAAAGAGTTCTGATTCTATGGTATTTTTTTGCAGTTAGAGTGATCTGCCCTTAGATCTAAATTCTTAAAATTAGAAATTTACAGTTTAATACACAATTTGTAATCAATTCAGGTATTCTTAAAATTTTAAAAGGCCAAGATAAATTAATTGAACATGTTATTTACATGTATTTTCTCTGTGTCAGTAAACAACAGTGAATTCTATTCACTGATACTGTGTTGTGTTTTAACATTTTTCCTGGGGGTAAATGCCATGCACCATATAGTGAAAATTGAATAGATAAGCTCAATATTAACTCCTTTATACAATACATTTTTCTCAATGTCCAAAAAACATTTTGCACTGGTGTAGAGAGGGTCCTTAACTTTTCATATAATAGAGGATCGTCTTATTTACTGTACGTACTAATGAGAAGTTTCATCAGACCCGAATCTTCGAGAATATTTCAAAATTATTTGTGCTTTATGATATATATGTAACTGTAACGTTTTCGCCGTTACGAGTTCGTAAGATAGGATAAAATAATTATTAATTACCAAATTGGTATTTGTAATTTATAAGCCTGGTCGCGGCTAATATCTTGTCTTATAATTTCTGGTAGCGAAATATGAATAAACCTGGTAGCGGTTTTTTACTAAATAAATAAACACAAAGATAATAAAGTTTTCAAAAATTATATTCTGTTATTCCAAAATTTAATAATGATAGTCAATAAATTAACAACAATTTATATTTCAAAAATATGGCCACACGCGTACAACGTCACTTGCTAGATTCAAAGGATTCCCCAAATTTCAGATAAAGTTAAAGTAAATTTCTAATACGAAATTTCCTAAATATAAATAAATAATTTATCACAAATTCCAATTAAATTACCTGGACATTTCACAAATAGTCTGGTAGCGACTAAAATAGGTAATATAAATTCACAAGTCTGGGCTGACTATCCAAATAAGTCCTTAAAAAAAAATTTACGTCCGTCTACTATCATCTAAAAATCCCAACTGACTTCTAAAACTAAACGTTAACCCTAAGTGACGTAGCACGACCCAACGTGACGTTATAAACCGCGAAATCGCGACACATTCTAGGTAAGACTTGTACATAATTTCCCGCGACCGGAAGTAATGGAAAATGAAAGTAAACATGTGAAATGATAGAATGACTTCAAAATAAGGTAAAAATAATGATGTACAACATGTTTAAATATAGTTTAAACATACAATAATGATGAACAAATCTTCCGGTCGAAATAAATTAAAACCACAAGTAGATAAACACACATTTCAAATATATACACAGTCAAAATCATTACATCACCCCCTCACTACAAAAGATTCGTCCTCGAATCTTGGGGATAAAAAAAAATGATTTTACACATTTAATAAATTCATCCATAAATACAATCTTCATAACATTTACAAATATGAATAATTTATGTTACCTTGAACCCAACTTACCAACTGTTCATCAAGAGTTCAATAACACATACATGAACATACAATGTATAATAAATAAAACATGTAGATCATACTTCAAGAAAAGTCCGTCTGTTTAGCTGCATTAACTGTAATCTTGGCAAGGAAGCACTGATTCTTGAAGTAGAAGAATGGACTGCCTGGCGAAAAGGAAAACTCAGCAGATGGGGGAAGTCCTACAGATCCGTCAGAGCCGGTACCGTTCCTAACTGCAGATGGTAGGCTAAGGTCCAGTGGCTCTTCTAGCGCGGTGACTGCAAGAACGGGGGATGCGGGTTCCACAGGAGCACAATCAGGAGTGTTCAAAGACTCATGGACAGGTTCAGGAACAAAGGTCTTGGGATCCTGAAATGACAATAGTTCAGGAAAAGACAGCCCCGGAAAATCCAAGTCGAGTAGATCCAAAGGGTCCTCCTGATGTAGCGACTCCACAGAAGAAACATCAGAATAAACAGGTGAGGGCGGTTTCACAGATGTTTCTGGTAAGTGCATCTTGGTTGTTGGTCTGTTATTTTCAACGACAGGCTTCCCATCTTTACTACGGTGTACATTTTCCTCATGTTTCTTAAGTAGATATTTCCTGGTTTGGGGCACTGAATAATAACAGAAGGAGCAGAAGACTCTGTCACCATGGGCATTCCTCCGGTGACGAGACAGTTTGTGTTTGGAAAAGAACCTCCGTCCACAGTCATCACATTGATGCAAAGGTTCCTCAGAGGGAGCAGCAAGGTATCCCAGATATCTATTAACACTAATAATAAATAAAAAATGATTAAATACAAAAGTTCATTAACACAAATTTACATGTATAAACATTTCAATCTTTGGTCTGATATATTATTGGGCATTTTGGGTCCCCTGGGCACGGGTGTTTCTATCACTGGGTGGTACAAACCACTTTCTCATTCTCCCAAAATATGGTTTCAATCTATTGACATGTACAACTTTTGACTTGGAAGTTGAAGAAGTCTTAATTTCGTAAATCAAATCTGACACTTTTCTAACTATAGTGTAGGGTCCCTCCCATTTACACATAAGTTTTGGTGATTTCCCCTTAATTTTTTGCTGGGTTGAATAACAAAACACCATCCCCAAGGGAAAAAGTTTGGTCATTGGTCTTTAGGTCATAATATTTCTTTTGTCTGTCACTAGCTTTCAAAATATTCTCACGAGCACATTCATGCACATTCCACAATTTTGTTACAAGGTCTTGTACATAATCGGACACAATTTTGCGGTCTGGGGATTTCCCATACAACAAATCAACCGGTAAAAGGGGTTCACGACCGGACATCATAAAACACGGAGATTCCTTTGTGCTCTCTTGAATAGAGGACCTGTATGCTAGCATCACAAATGGTAATTTTCTGTCCCAATCTCTTTGACTTTTGTTAATGGTTTTACTAAGCATATCGATAATTGTCCTGTTAATTCTCTCTACAAGTCCATCACTTTGAGGGTGGTAAGGAGAGGTTCTGGTTTGATCAATCCCAAGGGTTTTACAAAGTTCTTTAAAAAGATTAGACTGGAATTGTCTCCCTTGGTCAGAATGAATTTGTAAAGGCAAACCGTAATGACAAATGAAATCAATCAAGAAATCGGCAATAGTACTTGCTTCCTGATCTATCATAGGGTAGGCTTCTGCCCATTTCGTGAAATAATCGGTAATGACTAATATATATTTATGTCCTTTTTGGGTCTGTGGCAACGGGCCCATTATATCAAGAGCTACTCTCTCTAGGGGTGCACCAACATTGTATTGGGCCATAGCTCCTCTAATTGGTTTTGAAGGGGTTTTACGCTTTTGGCACACAGCGCACTTCTCAATCCATCTTCTCGTGTGGGACATATAATCGGACCAATAGAATCTTTCCCGAATTTTGTGTATGGTCTTGGTTATGCCTAAATGACCTGAAAGTAAAGAGTCATG